TCAGTATTCAAGCCACAGTCTCAGCCTTCTCTCAAAGGTCCGCTGTGTATTCCCCTCCAATTAGCATCATAATTAGCAACACTGATGCTAATCCATGGCTAATTGGTTCTGATAGATGTCCAGAAACCAAAAGAAACTGTAACACAGCCTCTGGCCTTGGACTGCAACAGAAGGGCAGAGCTACTTATACTGTTTTTCATTTGTGTTTAAACTGTTTTGTCAATAGAAAGTATCCCTCCAAATATTGTATGTCCCTATTTAAAAAAACAGTAAACTTCAAAAGACAAAAAAAGATTAACAGATTTGACTTTACTGATTTCCCCTTCCACCTATACCTTCAAAGATACCAGGCTTGTTGAAAGTACAAAAGTTGTATGGTACTGTACAAACAACTTGCTTTTTTTCTTTTGGAGTAACTTTATTGTAATTCTGAGCCCGATATAATGATGCACCTGTAAAAATCCTCTGTTCTTTCACTCTGATGCACAACAAGCAGTAAGCTCTATTTGCATCAACAATACACAGTAACTGGCAAATCTGAAAACACCCATATGAATCCATTTTGCATTGATCGCACAAGTCTTCTTGAAAGGCAATGGCAAACAACTACATAGGTACTTAATGATGATCTCTTTTGGAGACTGCGAAGGCTCCAAACCTTTCATCCAGTACAATTTGATGACAGTTTTTCTATTTCATGTTTTCTGCAGTACATGTGAATGGCAGCTGCAGTAAAAGAACTCCTCTGATGTGTTTTTGAAACCACTAGTTGTGCCCTGGAGAAGTATTTTTACAATATAAGCAAGTTTGCTTTGGTTCGTATGGAAGCCTGTTTCCACTGGTACAAGAAAATAAATAAAGAAGAAAAGTTAGTGACCATGAAAAATAAACATTTATTAAGTCAAAATTATGAAATATAAAGTAAATGTCTTGACTTACTATAGTAAAAATTATTTTAAAAAAGTCAAAATTTTGACTTAGTAAGTAAAAATTATAAGATAAAAAGTCAAGTGTGCATGTTCGCTAGCTGCCCAGACATTGGCGCCTCCATTAGCTTCTTGGCACTTTTGGTTGCATGTTCTCTCTTGCATTGCATGCTGACCTTGTATGAGAAACACAGCTGGTAAGCAAATGATAGCAGCGATTTAGGATTTCCTAAAACACTGACCACTGTACCATGCACTGTCGACGTGATGCATACTCAGCATGTTTCCATAGCTTTAATGAAATGTTTTTTCACTCTCACACAACGCTCATAAAGGCATTATCTCTATGGTTGCTAATGCACTGAAAGTGCCTACAAGGAAAACAGGACAGTGGATCTACCTCTTTGCTGTATTCAGTTAAGCTGTACATTACAACAACAACTGCCTCACCCCAGTATTCACAGATTAGTGGGCTGAACTCTCATAAAGCCTTTTGAGAAGGATCATCCGGTACTTTTGGTCTAGAGTTACAAAATGTATCCTAACTTTTGATATTGTTCTTTCTCACTGTACATTAATAATCCATGGACTCTAAGTACACTTGTCTTATTCTCTTATTAGACTCCATTAGATCAGTGAAGCTCCAAATTGAACCTCATGTACAGATAAGACAGTTTGGCCCCTGAACTGTCAAATTCATTCATGTAATTGCAACAGTAACACAGTTCTGTGCATTCACAGTAGGGCCATGTGTAATAAGCTCAGACAGAATGGCTGCCATTAAACTAAAACTAGTATAACAGGTTGAAAGTCATATTATCTTTTAGAGATAATCTGTTCACTTAGACAGATAGGAAAGTGTGTTTTATTAAGAGAGTTCTAATTTATTTATATGCTTAAATTTAAACTGTTAGATATAATGAACACATTCATCATGTGCTGTATAGTAGGAATGTGACGAGATCTCGTGCTATGATATTTCTCATCAAGGCAAAAGTGTCTTGCAATATCAGTACATAACGAAAGCACTAGCCAGCATGGGCTTTCAGATAAGATGCTGTATGCAGCAGGGCTTGGGCGCAACACAGGGGAGGAGGGCACACACACGCAAATCATGCACATGTTGGGCACCAGTTGCTAGGTGATCAAAAAGCTTTCCACAGGGTGGTTAGCAGATATTAACTACTTTTTTGAGCAGTGGACCTAGATGCACTATGTATCTGTCTACTTGACAGCAAAAAGTTCTGGCTTTGGTTGTATTGATGAGAAGGAAGAGACGAGATGCAGCAAAGAAGAAGAGGGTGTGGGTCCACCAAAATTAGCTTCTCCTCCATTTTCTTTGTGGTTTGTCAGGTTCTCTGCAATTGGATGCATCAAGGTGTCCTGCACCCCAGTTAAACTCTTTTTTTTTTACTTCAGCGCAGCTTGCAGGGACTACACGTGTGACCTTGTGGTGTGCTCAGCTCATCGTCCTATCTGAAAAGGCCTTTAGAGTGATATTAGCATAGAAGATGCCCCCGCCACTTTTTATGTTCAGTTTGTTGAAAGGAGTTCATTTAGAAGGTCACATACAGCTTAGTATTTCCCATACACTGACTTATTTGTGGTGCGCTGCCACAATATCAGTATTGACCACCACATACTGATTTTAAATATGTAGGTTAAATTTTATTTCGATATAGTGCCTTGCACAATGCATGTATTTGCTGAGTCCCTCAATGCCTCGCTTTCTCTCTCACACACACAAAAACTTGACAACCACGACAACAGACTGTCTGTGACCAGCTCTTCCTCTCCATGTTAGTTTTTTAATCAATTGCTGTCAATTGTGGAGATCCAACTATTTTAAGCTAGTAAGGCTGGCTAGGCTAACGTTTGAATACAACTGTTGCTGAGTTCAGCACGTTGTACATGGCATGGATGTATATGAGCTGCTCTAGAAGTAGATAAAGTTAATGCTAGTTCATAAACTCTGACGCTGAACATTTGCCCACCTCAGTCCAGGGTAATATCGAATAAGACGTGAGAAACCTGATCAGTCCGACCAGTGTGATTAGCGATCCTGCTGATCCATTTTGAATATTTATTAGTTTCAACCAGTGCTGCTGAGGCAGCAAAGGGAAGAGAGAGCTGAAGAGGAGGAAGGTAGCAGCCAACATGCTGCTGTTGTGGGACAGCAAGTGCAGAAGGGACAGGTCGGATAACAATTATGAAAACGTGACACCCCCCTCCACCCCCTGAGCTACGGCCACAATTAGAACGTAATTCTGTGGGAAACTGCAACTTTGGTTAGATGTTAGAAGCTCATGCATAGTTCATGCACAGTTCTAAGGTCTGAAGAGACTCAGGTGAAATCACACAGGAGAGAAGCCAGTCAGCTGAGTTTGTGGCAAAATCTTTTCCAGTGCTGCATATTGTCGTCTTTTACTGCATATGATAATTCATACTCAGAAAGTAGAACTAAAGTGACATTCATTACAAGATGATTAGGTAAAACGTTTCAAAATGCACTGTTTTGCATTTTGTGACTTTCAGTCGAAAAAAGGACTTTTTTCCAAGTCGTTGTTCTTCATAGAAGATTTGTTAAAAATAGTGTTAAAATATCATCTCGTCTGGTTTTTGTGAACCCAATATCATATATCTTGTGAGCTAAGTGTGTTGTCACACACCTACTGTATAGTATATTAGCTGTTTCTGTATTACCAAAGAAGTTCTATAATTTTCATTTATACTGATGATGTGTAAGACATTAGATTTTCTGGGGCTTGAGGTGTCAATTTACATTAAATTAAAAAGAATAAGCAAATTACTTTCAACATCAAAACTTCAACATTAATTTTAGTTGGGAACTGTAAATTTAATTCTGTGTATTAACATGGAGGGGAACAAGTAAACAACCAGAGTGTAATCATTTCAAAAATAATTTCCTCGCTTATAAGGAGACAATTCCTTATTGCATACCCACATTAACTTAGTGTCTGGTGCAAATTAGCCTCTCAGCTAAAATGAATGTATTCTCACTTTTTTCTATAATCATTTCATTCTAAATCATTCACTCTGGCCTCACAAAACACAGACAGGGTCGATACACAGAAGGATCATTTCAGCAGAGGCTGATGAAACATTTATCACTTGCATATTGTTTATGCTTTGCTTCCTTGTAGATGAGGCTGCTGCAGCTGGCAGGAAAAAAAAAAAAAAAAACAAAAAACCCCATAAAACCTACAGGCTCGAGCAGTACATGAACTGAACAAGGACAGAATATACAAAACAACCCAAACAACAGGGCCCATGTTGTCAGACCAGCACATTCTTTCACTGGAGAATGTAACACTGTTTTGTTTGCTGTTGTTCTCAAGTTGCATTTTCTGCTTGAAGCATGCTAAAGTATGCCAGCAGAGAAACTGAAGCTGACATATAGATTACAAGTCAGATTTAATAAAAACATCTTGCTTGAACTGGTGGAAAAGTCAGTTCACAGGCTTGCATGTATGTACAGTAACTGATACTGATTTGAATATTATTGTTTGTTTTAAATTCATGGTCACAATTAAAACCTAACACTACTGCTAAAATGGCAAGTGTGTATCCCATATATCCCTTCTTTGTTACTGTCAGTTGCAAAACATACGTAATACTGTACAAAGGCAGCCCATTAATGGCACTGCCATCTGTGTAGTTTTGGAAAGCGATTACAGAGATGTGTCATTGTGTGTATATTAGTAATTAGCGCAGTGCTAAAATGAATGGGCTTAAGGTAAATCAACAAAATCATCTTTAATCAGCTCTTACATTTGAATTTTGGTCTGCTTTGAGAAAACCTTTGGCCACTCTGAAAGACGGTTTTAAAGTGGTTTACTTATAATAACACTGCTGAGTGGTACAATTGAAATTATCCTTCTATAGAAATTGGTTATCAGCGAGGTTTCAAAAGAAGGGGCCTCTCTGAATTAGTGTGAGTCTGTCATTTTGTAATGTGGCTTGTCCACATTTGTTTTTCTCATAGTTTATTGGTATTTCTATAAGTTTTAAAAGGCCTCTGATCAGGTATTTCTTCTTCTTTCTTTTTTTCAGGAAAGAAGACCATTGATGAGCCTCCAATCCAGCTGTTTACTTGCTACTTTCAACATGAAGAAAAAGATATGTAGTTTCTGAGCACAGTGAATATTATATACGGTGTTGAAGCACAAGTTTGCTGTGGACTTTATGAATGGGTTGTACCTACTTACATGTAAAATATAGATAAAGTGGCATTTCTGGTCTTGAATCTCTCAAAATATTCCAAATGGTCCTCCTGGGAGAACAATGTTGGAAGGAAGAAAACCACACCAGATATTTGCACAATGTTGAAGTAGTAAACATGATGATGGAGTTATTTTTTATTTTTCTGAGAAAAATATAGGAAATGATTCTGTGGAATGCAAAATCTGGACCCAGCACTCCAAAAAGGACTGTAAACAAGTGTGTTTGAATGTGTTTGTGGGTGTCTTTGTGTATGCCCACGGTGGTATGACACAGTGGAGGTGAGAGGGGACAACACTTCCAGACCATTCTGTCTTTACAATGAGAGTTCCAGCCGGTGTGGCTGTAGTTTCCCATCTTTGTCCTCTGGTGGTCTTCCTATGTGTTGTCTCCCAGAGTTGTTATGGGACCCAGGTTTATCTGAGCCCTCACACTAGCCCTTACCCCAGCCTGTATCCAAATCCGAGACTTAAGTCACTGTCTGAATCAACCCCAATCCCAAGCACCTACAAAAATATGGCACCACTGAGGCCCAACCTGCTTTCAAGTTCCAGCCAGAACCTCTGGAAGAAGTATCATTCTAGGCTTGACACCATGTCCTATCTTACAGACAACCACAAGTCAAACACAAACTTCCCACTGGCAATATCCCAGGCCACATCAAGCTCAAACATTAGATTCAAACCCCAACATGCACCAAGACAGAGTTCTAAATCGAGGCAAGAGTTGGCATACAAATCAACCTCTGATCAGATTGCAAGAAACACCTTAAAGGGTCCCAAGCAGTCTTCAAAAATTAACACCCAAACCAATTCAAACCCAAGCCTTAGATCTTTGTCTCAATCAAACCGTAAGGTAGCCCCTAACTCTAAGCTAATGTCCATGCCTAAGACAAATTTGACAAAATCTGTGTCAGCTGCCAGCACTAAATTAGCTTTACAGTCCAGCCCTAAACAAAGGTCCTACTTATCTGGTACTATGAGTCCCAGCACCTATTATAGTGCCAGCGCTGCTTTATTGTCCCATCCTAAATCCCATTCCAAACTCCAGCCTTCTTCACAAACTAATATAAATGCCAACGCCAACTCCAAGCTCCCCAGCCTGAACTCCCGATCATCCACCAGAGCACACAGAAACCAGACCAAGTTGGTGGACACAGACAAGGAGTCCCACCATCGACCCAAGAGAGGTTGGATCTGGAACCAGTTCTTTGTTCTGGAAGAACACATTGGACCTGAACCTCAGTACGTCGGAAAGGTAAGATATCTTTGTGTTTTTTATTTTTTTCAATGTGTTGTTCAGTCACAAAAATATACTTTTTATTCCTTTAGCACATGTTGTCTTTTCTGAAAATGTGTTGAGCAGAGAGCATGCGCTCGGAACTGATTTAATGCCATTTTACATGAAATTACTTGATAATTTTATTTCAGTGATATTTATAAAGTTTACTTGTTTTTCAATAATTACTAACTTGGAAACAAATGGCAGGCTTGTGCCATCAATTTACAGCAGCGTTAAACTTTTTTGAATTATTTTAATTTTACTACTACAAGCAGTCATCACAGTTAAAGATTTTAGACATCCCCAGTCAAAAAAAGATACAGTGATTTTCTACTTAAGTGAATATCTTTCTCTATTATTTCTCATGTTGGTAGGCAAAATATAGTAGAATCTGCACACATCATTGCTCTGAAAATGTTCAAATTACTGTTGCTCTGCAATTGTAACAAATCTACTAATTGTGGTGAGGGCACAAAAACTGGATGCAGAAGCAAGCAGTAAGATAAAAAAAGCCAGTTTACTTGATCTTTGTTCAACAAAAATGTCGGCAGTGGGAACGCAGTGAGAGAAGTCAAAAACAAAAGGGAGCAGACAGGCAAACAAAAAACAACAGGTTATTAGCAGGTTAGTTCAGACAGAACAAGGGCTGGGACACAAGTGACAAGGCATAATAGATGATCCTGCAAATTAATGAAGCTGCAGGAATGATGGGCAGGTGTGTATGCAGGTACTAATGGTGTGATTCAAGAAAATGGGATGAGCTGCGAATGAGCATGGCAGGGTTATGATCTATCAGTGATCGTTATAAGGTGCAAAACATGACCGCAAACATTACATTATGTACTTATCTATTAGCTACAACCCAAGGCAACCATTTAATCATATTCAAAGTAGGACAAAGGAGAAATAACTAGTAACAGGTGATCATAAAGCACAGTGAGGGGCAGCTGTGGAACAGCAGGTGGAGTGGGTTGTCTACCTGCTCATTAAAGAGTTGGTGGTTTGATGGCTAGCACGTTCTGTCCACATGCCGGTGTTGCTGGATAACACAGTGTACTTTTAAATCTTCCCAATGCTTCTATGAACAACGTCTATAGTGGCTCACTGCCATTTACTATTACAGTTTACAATATAGTGTTTTTTCTTATATCCATTCCATGGATGTAGGTAATACCTTCCCATAGTGATTTTTACACACAATACATTTTTTATTTTTCTTTGTAATATTTGACATGGGACAGTCCATTCTGAGCTGATAATAGTTGGCAAAGCCAGTAATTCAAATAAAAGTGCAATGATTTGCTTACTAAGTGAATATAGTTAAAAGTATTTTGGTAGTGATTGTATGCTAAAAAGCGTGCCAAAGCCTATTACCCAGTACAACCAACCTGAAGAAGTTTCTACGTGGACCTGAGGGAGGGAGTCAGTCCTACTCTCTACAGTACATTGGGAATATGAATGTACAAAGACCACAACAAAGCATGTGGGGCAGCTCAGATAGAATGGCTTATCCTTGCAAATGTCAGTCCTTTTACTGCACACTCTGACAGGACTCCATGGCACCAGCTAACATGACATTGCCCACATGCTAGTTTTTAGATTGCCTACACTTTGTATACTTTTGAGTGGTGGAAGACATTTAAAGGGTTGGTAATCCAGTTAGTCAGAAAAGCTGTATATGTTCATTCCATCTGTAATTGTAGAGGTAAAAGCATTTTGCTGGAGGGTTGTGACATTTTTGATTTAAATGAGTAGTGCATGTCTTTTACTTCCACTCAAAGAAATGCTCTTCACTGGGATAATTTCACAATACAAACTTCAAACACAGATGAACTTTAGACCCAAGCCTTTCCAGGTGCTAGCTGATCTTAGATTTTAGTTTTGAGGGATATACTGTAAATCTGATGCAGCTTCCTTACTGTCCACCCACAGCTGTTCAGTGGGTGGGATACACTGAGATGTGCACACCTTTCTAGATAAATACAAACCTACAGTATATTGTATTGAAAGGGTTTTGTTTATTGAAGGTTGGTTGTGTAATTATTCTACTCAGACACCTTTTCCTGTCTAGCAGGACACATAATTTCTAATATATCACAGTTATACACACATGTATTGTATATATGCAGACTCACCCAACACAACACAAGGAAACAAATTTAGCAAAACAGATTTGTGGTCAGAAATAATGGATGAATATGTCCACAACTTGTCAATAATGTTTGAAATTTGCCAAACTGTTCAGATTAAACTGCAGGCATATTAAGGTATGGACAGTATGGCTATGTTCATACCAATGTAACAGTGCTATTTACTTGTCCATAACAATATTTTTACACATTGCCAAATAGTGTCACTGAAAATCAGCATACTGTTACTGGTAAGACCTGTGCAGATTTGCCAGTTTCATCTGTTTTCTGCAAACATTTTGTTGTTTTGATGAGGTGTGCAAAAGTGGGACATGGAGAATGCCTGAACTAATGATCTGGCACTCCTGCATTATGCATTGTCAGCTAACTGCAGTACTGACAGTAGTGGTGTCTGAACAGTGATGGCTGAACAGTGATTTGAAGCTGTCAGAATTATTCATTCATTCAATGTATCAGACATTGCAGATTGTAAAAAGTAATTGCTGTTTATAAATGAACCTAAGCCTACTGTATGAGCGTCAGGGAACCAAACTCACATCAGCTCCTATACTCATATAACGTACTCTTCACAGTCAATTTAATCCATAAGTGCTCTACTCACCCTTGGTGCATTGGAATCGCACACCATTCACCCGATTCACCTGGTGCTGCTGGGATTTCAAAAGCCTCTCTACCATAGTATCCACCTGTAGTCTCTGAATCTAGATTCCCCCTATTGTCACTTATGATTATAGTGCTGTTCATACATTAACATAATAATCTATTCCATGTAAGATGGCTGACTGAAATAAAATTTGCCATCAGACATTATACTTAATTTTTAGGTGTAAGGTGTTATTGCTTTGTCATTGGTAATTTCATCAAATAACTTTAATAGGTTAAAACAATATAGGAAATAGGTCCTTTTTAAAAAATAACCTAGGTGTGTGTGACAAATAGTAAGCATTTTGAACAATTTTCTATCTTTGACATGGGCAACATGTGAGATTAAAATTTACTGAATTGATGCCATTCCCATCACTCACCTTTTTCAGGAATGGCTTAGGAGTTGTTATTTTTGTATGGACCATTAAATCATGATTATTATAGATGGGATGACATAGTCCCAACGTGTCCAGTTCATTAGTTTGTTCATGAATGTCGTGCATGATTTTAGTAAACTCCTGTCAGCTGCAGGATGAGCAGCACCGTGACACAAATAGGGGAGCAGCAGGTTTTCAGTGTTATGATTCTGTTCCGCCTGTTTATGGTTGCATGCTTTTGGTTTGACATAACGTCCTGTTTAGCCATAGCTCAGTTATGGGCTTTTTACTTTAATCAGTACTCCATTGTTTACACCTGTTTTCACCCTGATTTAAGCAGCTTTCCCTCCACCGGAAAGCTGCCAGATTGTTCTAGACCTCAGCTCTGACTTTCCAGCGATTATTCTTGTGCATGACTCTCTTGTTCTGACCCCAGATTGCTTTTGACCACCATTCTTTGTCTTATACCCCTTTCATTCTGTTGCCTGCTGTGTACCGACCCTTGGATATCTCCTCTCTGACCTCATGATTGTGGATCCCTCGGATGTGTGTGTTTACCGGCATTGACCTTGGATTGTAGTAATGACCTGATTTGGATTCTGGACTTTTGTTCTGTTTGTTTTGTGTTGCTAGTAAAGAAACTATACTTTACCTGTGTTCATCTGGCATTATAATTGAGTTCACTCTCGACATCATCGGCAGCTTTACGCGCCGAGCCTGACACTCAGGTGAGTTCTGATATCATGGGTGAAGCTTCTGGCTAAAAGTTCATGACTAATAAATAAATCATGATCATGATTAGAAACTAAATACAAGGTGAAGGTTTGGAAAGGATTTAAATATAGGCTGATGTTTGCATATTGTTTTTCTTCAAGAAACCTTTAGGTTATGTTGTCAAATCAACAGAATGAAAAAAGGAGAGAATTATGGAACCTTAGGTAAAGTTTTACTAACACAGTTGACTCTAACACAGTAGCATATACCCACTGGTTATTTTCTTGTAATTTAAAAATCTTTCATCTCAACATCTTTAATAATTTTAATCTCAGACTTTATACTGTAAAGCAGGGCTTTTCAACTAATTGTGACCCAGGGACCACAGTTTTGACTAAGAAGTAACCCGAGGACCACTGCTGTAAGGTGGCTACACCTGACTGAACAGTATTTTAATCCTGAAAATCATCTTGGCTTTTCTACATTTGTTATATTTGCATGAGTTTGATTATTTCCAAACAATAAGTAGTAGATGGAAATAAGTTTTTAAAATCCTACAGTGAAACTACAGTGTTAAATGTATGGTCAGGGACCATCTGCAATGGACTACCAGGGACTCATGGACCACTGGTTGAAGACCCCAGCTGTAAAAGAATGATTGGAAACCAAAGGCAGTCTGGCAATATAGTGGTCAGTGGTCTTAGAAATCACAGAAGAAAGTTTCTCCAGTGAGAATTCATGGATATGAATAGATTCATGTACATCTGTGGATAGATTGGTGACACCTTTAAGCTTTTTTTTTTTTTTTACAGACATTGAAATTTTATTTTTAAATGTGAGTACATAAACAATTAAAACCATATTTTTAGGTTTCTGATCATTTCCACCAGTTAAAACAGGGACAGCAATAACAGCTTTTAAACTTTGACAGGAGAGTGCCAAATCTCTGACAAAACAGAGGTGAATCTTAGAAAGAAGTGTGTTGAATGTTTGCAAAGCAAGTTTCAAAACTTTAAAAACATTTTTTTGTAATATTGAAAAGAATTAAGCATTTTATTTCAGATATTCAAATGTTGGAACTCTGTCTTCG